ATCCTTAGGAAAAATGTATGTTGGCTTATTTCAATATGCTTCTCTAAAAATCTTTCTGTGATATTATAGTAGTCTGTCCTAATATACGCATTTGGGTGTTAATATATATTCTTGTGATAAACATTGTGTTTTATGTTCACATCTATTTGAAGGAAAGCTCTAGAAAATTATATAGCTGCACAAGCAGCAGACCTTTTTATAAACCTTATGTCAGGAAATAGGTATTCATGTTCAAAATAACACACTGAGATGTGATATGAGGTTTTTATAACATTTAATGAGATTGCTCAGCTCGTGTACTCATGAGTTTAGCTTATGAATTGTTTCATGAACAAATATGTAAGCCAGCTACATATTATCATCCCCATTTCACAGGTGGAAATACTGAGGCGTGGTGCCGATGAGCCACACCTCCTGGCAGTTGTATTAAATAGCCATGTGCTCAAATTTTTTGAAAAATCAGATGGTAAGGTTTTCATCAAAGATTGGAACGGCAGACATGGAGAGTGAAATACCTTCTTTTTACTCCAGCTATAGTGTCAGTAGGTGGGCAGGCTGCCTGCGCTTGAATTTAGCCCTTCTCCAATCATTTACCAGGGGAAAAAAAGATTGTGTTTGCAGAAGCACACAGCAGGAGTCAAAAAAAATAAAGAATAAAGACTAATAATCAAAAATAGTTCTAGGGGCATATCAGGACTTCTGTGAAATTACATTCTGGTATTTTAGGACATTTCCAATTCCCTAATAAATTAAAGATTAGACCACGTGTGTGCCTGCATTCGGAAAACATACTTTCCCTTACTAGTTCAACATCTGCTAATTTGGTAATACCTGCTCTGAAAGCCATATGAATGAACCTAACAGGATTTTGCCCCTTCTGAGCTTGTGATGTGAAAGCCTGTAACACTTCTGTGTAATTTTCCAGAATTTTAACTTCAGTTTTAAATTGCTAGGAAGCAGCATTTTTTTCCTAATATGACGTGGTCAATTTAAGCAACGATAAGTGCGATCAGATGCAATAAGAAGTTTTATATTTAAGTTACATATCATCAGTATTCTTTGTGGCATCAGCTTTTGCCACAGGTGTAGTAGTTGTGGATTTTTATGTCACTTTAATACAAACTGCCTGTACAGTACAAGAAAATGCATTTGCTCTTTTGAGGAGTCAAAAAGCAAGTTTCTAGTGGTTTAGTAAGTGGAACTAATGTCCGACATACAGAAACATAAGTTTTGTTAATGCCTAATTTAAGACCTCACATAATAAACACCCCCACCCCCCCATTATTTTCTTCCTCCTGTTTAAATAATCACAAGGATGAAACACATAAAAAAGCAAAAGTTCTATTTCTAGAACATCAGGATAACCTGAATGCCAGCATCACGTTTTTGCTTTTGTAAATATTATTTATATTTTGTAGCAATGAAATGCTAGTGGTAAGTGTATGCTAAAAAAATAAAACTGCTTTGGAAAAATAATTTTAAGCATAGTCAACTGCAATGGCTTCTTACCAATAAATTCCCATAAAACATTTAAAAAGATTATCTTGGTAGAACTGACTTAATGAATACTCAAAATGCAAGCTCAAATCTACCCTGTAAAGCAATCATGGTTTTTTAGCAACTATTTTGACCTTAGTGACACAAACAATTAATTCTACAAACTTAATATCAAAATAAAATTCTACATCTAATGCAGAATAATCTGTCAATGTATTTAATCAAGGATATGCTTTTTCCATGTATTATACATTCTAGTATCAAACACTGATTTTAACACACAAGAAAAAAAATGAAAGTGAAAAGCTCAGAAGTGTACGAAGGTACATATATGAGAGAGAGAATGTCTCATTGTAAGCCAAAAAAAAGCAGAAGAAACAAGTCTGAGCAGATTACATTTTGCATCATATTTAATAATAAAAATCTACATTCACTTTAGCAATATTTATAAATTGATAAATATCGACAGTAAGATAAAAAGTTGCTTACGTTCTAGTCATACATCTTCAAAGCCGACCTGATGACTTGTGACAGCACCCAATCCATTTATCACCAAGTATGTATTACAATATATTATAGAATACTGTCATTCTCTCTTGATACATGGATGAGGAACAACTCCCTGATTTAAGTCAAACTTCTCACTTCTATATAAAGATCACAACAACATAGTTCATCAGTCCAGTAACAGTACTGTCCAAATTCCATATCATTGCTTACAAGAAGATAATGAAGTCTATTATTTTAGCTTATTTACTTTCTATACATCCACCAATTTGTGATCATAATGCTGGAACAAGATGCAAATCGTATGTAACTTAAATTTTTAACTAAGCCCAGTTGCTCTTTGTACACAGCCTAAAATTTCTCATGTTTAACTTTCCCCAGTACATATTCATGCCACAGTGAAAACTTATTTTGTGATTTTACTCAGCTGATATAGCCATTCTGAAGCATTAGCATCTCTTTACATAGCTGCCCAGCTGAAGGAAACGTATTAAACCCAGCAATTATTTACTTGCTTCCTTTAGAAGAAGCTATAACAAACTTGATTTGTTTATTTGAAGGCCCCCAATAAAACAACTCAGAGAAGCCAAAACCAGAATGTTAAACTATGACATCAATACATTATATCTTGCACATATTTAAACAATAAAAAAATCTGAATAACTGCAGGTACAATGGCGTTTGCTCTGTTTTTCTACTTGTGAAAGTTTGTTAGGCGAGTCACATATTAAAAATAATATTTTAGAGAGTTACTACAGTGACAATAATAAAACCAGCCATCATTTTCTTCTTAAAATGTATTTCAAGAGGCATCTGGTCAAAAACAGAAAAAAAAGAAATCGAAAAAAGAGGAAGAAAAGCAAAAGTAGCATAAAGCTATGCCCATTATCTAAAGGACATCCTACTGCATGTTTACTAGTGTTTATGTTTCACATCAACATATTTTATAGAAGGATTTATATGCCTAACTCAAGTTGTATTTAAATCCTATGGTGCAGACCCTACCATAAAATGCCTCTTGAGTCCTATTAACTGTACCCATGGTTTTACTTTGCCTGTCTGCTTATTTAAGATCTAATCACAGTTTTGAAGAAAAGATTGTCACTTCTAAGCCTGTCCCCTCAGAACCTGTCTGTTATTAGTACTCAACTGGATATTTTCATCTTCAGTTGTTATTCTCTGTGGTCTTTGCAAATGCTATCTACTGGAATCTGTGACTGTATGGACAAATTGGCTACAAATGCCTAGGACTGCTGCTTTGAGAAACATGTAAGTGGCACATTATTCTGTCGGTATTTTTGTGTTTTAAAGTGTTTCACTTAAGTTTAGTTTTCTAAACATTTTCACCAATTAAATACACTCTCAATAAAGATTTTAAAATGCTTTTATAATCTGAACACCTGAATAAAGGTGATGGCATGCTTTTCAATGAAAACAATATTAAATTTATATATATATATGTGTGTATATATATAATTTTCTATGAAAATAGTATATATGCACAGTGTACATATACAGATAATAGTGTGTGTATATATATATATAGGTGTAAGCCTGCTAAGAACTTAATGAAGACGCTGAAACCTGTATTTCCTCAGACTGTAATACTATAAGTGCTCAATTGTTAAAACAGAATACGCTTGCATTTGAAGCAAGGCACAGATTCAAGCCTTAACAACTTCTCATATTTCAATCCACAACTATTTAATTCTTCCACATTTTCTGTCACCATTTAAAATATTTAACTACAGATGTAGCTAGTGTACACTGCTTAATTCAGCACTGAGAATGATTCAATTTTAAGAGCTATTATGACCTGTTATTTCAGAGGCCCGTACACATGCAATTTATCTATCATGTTAAAGCATGTTTCTACAAAACAGGATTTTTATGCTATTTTGTCTTAGGGGAGACAACTTTCCTTCCATTAATGCAATACCTGACGTTGCAATTAAAAACCTCAGTATTTACAGATGAGGTGTTTGAACTCCAGAGGTGCTGAGTGGCCTCAGCAGGTGAGAGGACCAGACACTGAAGACTTTCAGGAGTTCAGAGCAGGTACTGGCACTCTGCAGAATCAGACCCCAATTGTTTACCAAACAAACCGTTTGGGATTCACTGCATTAGTGCAACCTGCAGCCCCTGATGGGGAGGCAACCATTTCGGTAGACAAAGTAGAAGGAATTATGTTTGTGCAGGTTTTCAAAGGAAAAGTAATCTTACACTGACAAAAATTAATCGATTGCATCTCATAATTAGATGGCGTCAGCAGCCAGACAACGGTTTAATTTTACAGTTGTGAACATAAAAGCAGTTCTCCATTAACACCCCGAGAAAGCAAACAGACAAACTTAAAAAGATGTTTTTAAAGCGAGAAGGGAAACATACCTACAGAAAAGCTGCTTCTCTCTTTTCCCATATTTTCGAAATCACCCATCCCGGTTACACTCGCACACACGCGCGCACACAGACAGGCACATGCTCTTTTTTATTTCGGTGGTTCTGAACTAACCAGCATTTTTTATTTACACCTACGGCAGCAAAGCATCTTTATTGTGAGAAGTCACTCTGGTCCCTTCAGCCCAGCTCCGACTTTGGAACAATTCCTCACAAGCGAAGCGAAGTCTCAAGTAATGTGGCCCTCTGGTGGAAAGCTCTGCATCACCTCCTACGCCACCGAATCGCACCGTAAACTAACAGATTCTGAAAACATGCACTGCAAGGCTTCGGCACAACTTTTATAAATACGCCACGGGATTTTAATCACCAGGCGAGCGCGGCGGCGTGCGGCGGCATCAGCGAGACGTTGCCGCCCTGAGAACAGGATCCTTGCGTTTCAGCGTTAATGTGCACAAAAACAACAACAAATAACGCCCCACGCTCTTCACTTGCACGACACTTCACATTCAGCACGCGCAGAGGGTCTGCGGAAGGGTGCCCGTCCGCAAACAGCCCTTTATTTGTTTAAAAACAAACAGGAAGCAAAACAAACTTACCTGCTGTTGTTGCAGATGCAGCAGTTCTACTGTGCTTACTTCAGTGCTCGTGTCACCACTTGATCTTCCATCTCTGCTGCCAGCATCTAATTGGCTGCTTAGAGTGCTCATTCCATTTTGATTCATTGAACTGTTGCTTATTGTCTCTGTCGCAGATTCCTGCATCATGACTTAATACCTAAAAGTGATTAAGAAGTATCAATTAACACACGCGTTACACCTTCACACTTCCATTATCAAGATGTCCCTCTCTGCCAATTATACAGACAGCATCTTTAGAAGAAGAAAAAAGCCTCGTGGAGCCGTTTACCAAGAAATGCGATGCAAACTCTGCTTTCATACATACAGCTACTAATCACCGGAATTATGGTTTCTATAAGCAAGCTTTGTGTGCTTACGTTTAACGGCCAAAATAACACACCACGCACGCAGCATGGTCAATAGCATTTATGAACGACTACGTTTTAAAGTCTACCTATAAAACCAGTTTAAATGAAGGCACGATTTCACACACTGCTCTATATTTCCTATTATCTAGCTTTGACAACCATGGATGACTATACAGCCTTATTTAAAATATTCACTATCTTGATTCTGTCAGAATTTTACAGCATATCTTATGCAAGGCTGTTGTTTAATGATGCACAGCTAATCATACAAAATTAAAATTTTGTAAGGGTGTTACAAATCATATGGTATCAACCAATGATAAATAGTATAATGGGCTTCTCCTTTTTTGTGACTAAATAAAATTTTGCCTCGGAGGCATTTTAAGAAAAAGCTCCTGCTGCAAACACGTCAGATATTGCCTATTTTTTTAATCAAACGGCTGATATTCATTTATTTTTCTGACATTTAAAACATTTAATACTGTCCTTCCTGGGAAGTAATTAAGCTTATGCATGAGCAGCAATCAAACTGTTCACTTGAAGATGACTTAAAACTCAATTTTAACATAGGCAAATAAATGAAAGATATAAAATTAATTTTCCAGGCATGTATTAGATATGAAAGCTGGAAATAAAATCTATCAAGAATATCACTAATGATTGTGCTAAAAACAGCATAAATTATGCATATTACCTTCTCTACAGTAATAAATGTTTTATCATTTTCACTGCATAAATATACTGTACTTTCAGGATAGCAATGAGATGTCCTGCCAAGATCAGTTGAAATCTTTGCAGTAAATAAAGAACCAACGTGCCCTTACAAACCAGAATTTCAAGGCGCATTTTGTATCTGTAATATGGAAAGGTCAATGTCTCTTCTCAGAGCCACCAAAGTCCTCTCCTGCTCTCGCAGGGTCAGAATGGACCTCACTTTCCCTCACCCTCGCTCCCAACGCACGGAAAGAGTCCCCACAACAACCTGGCTGAGCTGTGACTTTAAAAGACACCTCTGAAGGGAGAGGGATGTGTAAGCAAACTTGGGAAAAGAAACAAAGCTTGCTGCTTAGCCTGATTATTGAACTTAGTTATTTGTTCCCTTGCAAAGTATGAGCAATAGCCTTTCTCCGGAAAAAAAAAAAAAAAAGAAAAAAAAAAAGGCAGGAAAAGGATCATTACAACTTCAAGTGTGTGCATGGGATATTAATCAAAACGCTGTATGAATTAACGCAAACAAGCGCCTACAAGATAAAGTCAAAGTATATATTGTGTGAAGAAAGTTAAAATAGTAAAAGATGAGTTATTTAAAGATGGTCTGGTCAAAAATAAACAGGATGCAAAAAAACCCAAACACGAACACAGTTAACATAAAGGAGGGCAGCTGTTATAGCCCAGTAAACAACAGCAGCACCAGATGTGTTTATGAACAAACAGCCCTTCCTAAACACTCTTACGAACATCAGCGAAGAAAAATAATAGAAGTGGAAAATGTGATACACGCAGTGATGAATTTTACAAGGCAAAAACAAAGCTAATACTCTTTTCTGAGATTAGGCAGCTAATAAGTATTCAAATTAGGCATAAATTTTACATGTACAATGTTTAAAATATTCAGAGAAAAGGGTCTGATTGCCCTTAGTAGTTATATGAAAATTCTAATGCGGGTATGCCACAACTGTGGGAGCAGGCAGCCCTTTCTGATTTTTACAATATTTACTTTCAATAAAAAGACATGTATATCAGAGTGGAAATCTATTTAAAACACTTCATCAACTGTATCGTTACAAGGATTTGGAAATTCGGGAAATTCAAACATTAATCCTCTTTTAGTCAAACAAAGATTTAACCAACAGACAGGTTCATCTTTTACAAATTCGAACATTAGACAATAACAGTGGTACGTTTAGCCAAGCGCATTAAAAGGGCAAAGGGGTGTAAATGTTAGATAATCAAAACATTAGAAAACACTCAGAAATTTAATAAATAAATACATCACCCCCCTGTTTTTACATCTCTCCGACTCTTTCACTACAATTAGCAGAGAAGGGTTAAACATCTTCCAGTTCATATTAACCAAAGGGTTTTATGTCTTGTGGATTTTGTATCCTCGCAAAGCCCCAGAGTGTAGTTCGGGCTCTGCATTTTAAGTTCAAGTGTCTGTGAGCCAGCAGAATCGGCTTTAACATAACATGACCAGTAACACTACTCTGGCAATAGAAAACAACAAATCCGACCCAACAGCTGTGTACAGAGAGAATGAAACTACAGAGTATCAATGCTAGAAAGGGCAATTTATTTGGAAGTGAAGTAGAAGAAATACTGAAGTATTTATATGAAAAAGAAAGAGTCCGTAGAATTCTATGTTAAAAGTAAAATGTTATTCCTAGTTATAAAAGGGTATTTTTAGAAACAATACTGAAACTTTGGCTCGAGCAATGCTCTGTGTTGGTTGTCCACAGCCCCCTTCTCACTGCCGACAACTGAAAAAGGGCTGCTGGAAAAAGCAAGAGCACATAATCTTTTCCTTTTCCCTTGTTTTCTCTTGCATACACACACACACACACACACGTGTGTATCTGTACACGTGTGTGTACTACTATCAACTCTGAACCCTCACAAATTAAAGCACTGAAAACATCTAAACAAGGATCATTTCTGATATGTAAGTACCAGTAATTTCAGTTATTGGTGGCAGAATAATTTGCACCTGCAACATCTCACTAAGCAAACTAACGTACTTTTTTTCTTGCTTTTACAACAGTAGTGCGGGTTGTTAGCGTAATAATCATAAATAAATCCAAAGGAAATAGAGCGACTGCCAGATACTGAGGCTGAAAGTTTAGTATTTCAAATAGGACAAGAAAAAATATACAGATCCCTGTTTACACACATTTATACACATTCACACTTCCTAATCCTTCTTTTTTTCTCTTGCTGTCACACTCGCTGTCAGTCATGAGCGTGCCTACACAGGCACGAACGCACACACGCACCCACACTCACAGACACATACGTTCACCAGCACCTACTTCTGCTGCGATTCCCAAACTCTTGTCGCCAAAGGTGAGATACAAGCTTTGTTACCAGGTATTTTAAGCAAAGGTATGGGGAAAACATTTGCTGCTCTCTGCAAGAGAGAATGAAACTGTAGATTATTTTAGCGTGTGGTTGCTCTGCAGGTTGAATGCCTAATTCTGCCAGGGTAACCAAGCGATCACCCACACCAAAAAAGAAATACCAGTCCCGTGAAGTCAGAAGCTACAGTTTTACTTTTCTCCCCGGCAGTAAACTGTAGGTTTTCTGCGCGCGCCTGTGCGTTCTAAGCCGGCAAGTCGCTGTACAGATACTTATTCTCTACACCACTTCCCTTTTGAAACATTAAACTGACACTGGAACTGACTGCACAAGATTGCATTTTCTCTTCCTAAACAACTTGAATTGAAAGGTTACTTAGTGTAACAATATTTACTTGCAGAATTGTGTTGTTACCAAGGGTATAATGGATGGTGGCTATGCAGGTTTACGCAAGAATGAGTGAAGCATGAGGCATTAGCCATGTGTTTGACATGTTTCAAATTGCTATAATCCAGCATTAAACACACCCAGCAATTCATGCCATTTCTTGCAGCCATAATCTTGAATAAAGCGTGCACAACCACTTATTATATAAATTAGTATATGACTCCCTGTTATAGTCACAACAGTGCTTTTGTGTTTATTTTGCATCAAGATGGGGTCTTTTATTTGTACAAATAGCAGGATAGAGAGCCGTAGCTCAATTAGACCTCCTTACTTTATGACAGGGCGTACCGAACGCCGGGCTGGCGGCCTTCGCTTCGCCCTGCCAGGCAGAGGTTCTGCTGGCCCCCACGGCCCGGGCGCAAACGGGGCCTGCCGCTGCCGCCGCCGGCC